CTTCAAAATATAGTCAATATCATGAGATTTTTGAACTGGGTTGCAAAGTTTAAGAACATCAAAAGTATTGTAACGGAAGTAAATAATTTTTCAAGTATTCTAACAGTATAAAAAGACCTTAGAGGTAGTTTGCTAAGCTATAAGTAATAAGGTACACAATGTGGGGTTCCCAGTGAAGAGGACAACATGAGAAGGAATATTGATTTCTATATTTGATGTGAATGACACCAAAGAAACAAGCCAATTAAGAGGCAATTATATGAAGGATGCACTTTCTGAGGGTAACCTTATATGGGCTGGCATGGTCTCTATGTGAAGCCTGCACAGTGCCTGCATGGTTGCATGGTTAGTCAGCATAGCTGTGCATGGTCAGCCTGCATGGTGTGGTTGCATGGCTGCATGGTATGCAAGCACGATTGGTTGTGTGGTCCAAGGTATATCTGTACATATGGAAGAGTTGTTTGTGGGGAAATTAATGACCAATTGTGTGGTATTGATGCAATCAAGGAGCAATTGATGTGAAGTCGTCATCAAATTGATGTTTACAGTGTTGGAACATCTTTGTATTAACAACTTGAAGCTCAAAAAATGAGAGAGTACCTAAATTTCGATATTTATCCTTCTCATAATCATAGATAGACACATAGAAGATCCAATGGAGCCTAGAAATCCAAGATTTGAGGGCATAAAAGCTTTAATTGACAGCAACTGAGCTTTGAAACATTTTTGAACAAAGATCCATTTGTTGCAGACAGTTTACAGAAGAATAAGAAATAGATACAAGGAAATGTTTAATGAAGCATTCCTATCATAGCGCAGTATATATGTACAGTCAAGGCAAGTTCAACTAAGGACTTGCATGGCCTGCATGGCCAGATGCCATACACATGTGATACCACACAAGTGACCACACAGAATTTCTAGTGCCCCATTGGCAGTATCAAAGGCATTGATTCCAGCATCATACCTAAGCTATATTAGAGAGGCACACCTATGCAGAGAGATGACCTATGCAGCCTTGATGTGTTCAATCCCTTCATCTTTTCTGAGAACCCACTTTTGCCATTCAGGACTGTTGTAGACCATAATCATCCTAAGATGATCTTGGACACTTTCAAGCCAGACTGTCCGAGGCACACTATATACAAAGTGAGACATGTTGTAGAGGGTGGGACCAGATGAGGCTCACCATATTGCATACTAGTAGCCAAAGACATGATGGTGGTCAATGGTAGTGATTTGTAAAGTGAGCAATTTACTTATGCATTCAGGATGAATCCAATTTATCATCCGATCATGGCTGTACTGTATTGCGATAAGTAGTGCGAAGATGTGAACCAACAAGGGTCATTGCTATGGCAACACTAGGAAGAGAATGCAAGAACAGTCATCTGCTGCTTTCAGGAATAGTACACTAGTCACTAGTTCCCACAATTAGGATATGTACCCTGAATATAGAATGCTGCTCAGATAACTTAGTGCTGGATATGTGCAGTCAGTTAGACATAGAAATAAGATTGGATGTTGAGCCTTCTGCAGGTTAGATGAGTTTAGAGGCTGAACCGTCAGTTGCCACAATGATTACTCACACATGAGCAGGCATTATAGATTCCACCTTTAGCTTCTCCAAGACTTCCATGACTTCTGTGTAGGGTTCTCTATTTCTTTCAATGATGCTGGCACCTGATAGCTGACAAAGAGCCTTTGTGGTTATATGGTGAATGTGATAGCAGACAAAAAGAAGGCTTGAGATCAAAATACAAATTCAGACTGGGTTAAAGAACCTTGAAGGTGTGGGTGTTGAATACAATTGTGGATGGTAACTTGACAGTAACTGGTAGACTGTGAAAGATCAAAATGTGATGCAATTCAATCTCCCCTTCGATCTTGCTTTGATCACCCCAAGACTACTGCCACCTCCTTGTTTTGTATTTCTATTGCTGGCCACAAGCAAAGACTTTTGGATGGACACGTCCTGTGAGTGAATTATATGCATATCCACATTTATGATGAGAAAAATGGATCTTGGGACTTCCTTCTAGTGACTCTTCATCCCATTGAAGTGGTGTTTTCAGTTAAGCATCCGATCATCTTGTGCTTCCTGACATTAATGAGGCATTGCCGCTGTCTTTGTCCAATGCACCAGCAGTAAAGATGAACATTGTGTGTATTCCATATTCGATACGTATAACTTCTGCATGATGGTGTATCATATCTGTACCAACTTCTCAGACAACTAAAGGAAAGATTCATAATATAGTGTAGAGTGGGGATGATGGGAAGGCTTCTACATCATCTGGGCTGGTGGAATATTATCGAGAGTGTTCTAATTGTAACAACACAGGATAGGATAAACAGAACCCATTATTAGACTGGTATTACCATACAATTAAACTATATGCTGATAATATGAGGGATCTGGTAGAAAGCTGAACATTTTCTTGCACTATTTCTCTAGTTGTTGGGGTTAGTATACTTAGACAATCATCACTCCAATGCACTGAGAGTGAAAGTGAACATGGAATGTCCTTGTTACCACTGTTTCCAAATATTTCTATTCAATCCCGCTGAAGAGGCTCTGTGCGTGCCAAGCTTGAAATGCGATAGCGTAGACACACTAAACACACCCACTCTCACACTCACACACACACAGAATCTCAGTAGTTCGGGGGAGATGTGCGATGCAAGCACACAATAACAATAGAATTAAAAGATGTCTTGCGCTCTTCAAGATATAATAGCGCGCTAGCTCAAAAGAATTCTCTAAGTCCAAATGCTTTTAGGACAGGAGGTGAGTGATATGTATCGCTCGGCCTCGAGGCGAAAGTAATATTTCCCAAGCCCACAAATGTCCCACAAGAAGGTACAACCCTCAATTGACATTGCGCACAACACACAGGTGGCCACAACCCATCAAACAAACTACACACAACTTAAAGCTTTATGCTTTAAGCAGAAAACACTTCAGAAACCTTTCGTAGATCCACAGGGTTCAAACCTATGTGATCCAGAGACACAGAAACACAGAAACATGTCCACAAGCCACAGGGTTTGAACCTATGCTACTTGGGAATAAACCAAAAACCCTCAAAGAGTATTGACAAGCCAAAGGGTTCGAACCTCTGCCACTTGCAACAACTCAGAATTCACTAACATGTTCTGCAAACACAAATGCACATTCAAGTTATCACAATACAATATTTCTCTGAGTTGAGCACAATCAATTACTGTCCAGAATCAAGCTAGGCGTTGCACATGAGCAAAGCATGCCTTGCGACCTCTCAAGAGTTTCAAAATAATTCTAGATCCAATAATATTCTCTCGCTCGAAGCTACAAACACAATTCCTTTGGTTGCACACTAGGCTCTCTGCTTCGTGTCACAACTGTGGGGGTTCGAAAGCTTGCTACCTACTTCTAATTACTATGCTTTTATCTACAGCTAATTATATAAATAGACCTATCGAAAATAGATATGCTCCACCCTGGAGCCATTTCCTCTCCATGACGCATCAACTGCATGGTCACTAATTAATATCCTGAGTCAGTCATCCAAGTTAGGGCTCGATAACATGCTGCTCTTTCTTCTTGGCAAGGTCTAGAGTTGCCACACCATGCGGAATATTTCTCCTAATTGGCTCCTTGTTTTTAATTCCTCTGTCATGCACATCGCTAGCGAGTTGGTATTTATATTTGGTTGCTGTACAACCTTTTCTTAGTTCAGTATTTCATTCTGGGTACAGGGTTTCTCTCATGTTGGCCGAAGCCCTCTCAGGGGGCTCGGACTGGGTGGTCCTCAGTTCTGAATAACATCTCTCGGTGATTGCCAGATCGGCAGGGTTCGCACATCATAGATCAATGTTGCATGAAGCTCCATAATTATATTATCTTTTCAGTGTATTTTATTTGAGCGAGATGCTGCTGAGGGATGCATAGGGTGTGAGTCAGGGCACTGAGACTCCACACTTAAATGACACCAGTGTGCTGCTCTAAGTCTAAGCCATGCGCTCCACTCGGATTATTTTATTATATGCTGCTCCTGCCTCAACAGGTGTCGCTCCATGCCAGGTATGCACTCTAATATTACTTAGTGGATTGACACATGTTTGGATTCACAGGATTCGCAAAATTACATGTATGAATGCATTGCACGCGTGTCACCGCTGTCAGTGGAAGTCAGGGTTAGCGAGATTCCATTGTACAGAGGGAATATCCACCATACTGTAGTATGGTTCGAGTGGGGAAGAGCACATACGCTATAGATTTGGATAAGCTTCATGTGATTGGGATGTGATTGATGTTCTGTGTTGTGATAGATTTGACTGAGCTTACTTTTTGTAGCTCAATGGAGTAGGTAGTTACGATGTTGTGACAATGTAAGTGCTGGTGATTGTGTGTGGTAGACTACTTGTCCCTATGTGTTCATTCAAGAGTAACTCAAAGTCTGAGTGTCGAAATAAATAGATCTGTCAAGGACATCTCCTGTTTATCAAGTTCAGTCTGTTGTTTATCAGGCAGTCTGATACCAGCCCTGACACCGCATCTTCCATCTGAATTCTGTTCATTAGAAAGTCTTCATCCTGGATTCCAGATGCTATAGCTCCCACACCCTGACCATCTTTTCACATGGACCCCCCAACAAAAATAATAAGAAAGAGCGCAGCTAGATTACAGCAGACAATTGTTCAAGAACAACTTCATCACAAACTAGATTCATTGCCTTGTGGGTTGTGACATACATGATACAGCTAAGAATGAGGTAAGGTGAAGGCCACAATCTTGATGCATTATGCATGAATACATCCCTACTAGATTTCATCAAATGATTGTAGTATGCTGATTCCCAACACTGTTTTGTCACAATGGATATGCCTCTTGGCAACACTGCCCTTAGGCTATGCATCGAATTTGTTTGCTTATATTATGCCCATGAAACTACTTGTGGTAGTCACACATCCTTCAATATCTTTTCACTCGTCAACTTACTTCTTCACACAGAACAATGGCAGATCAGGTAGAGGAACAACAGATGGTGGAGATTCTGCTATTATCTCCGAGATATAGCACTGCCTCGGACAACTTGTCAACCAGGTCCAAGTTTGGGATTACTCAGTCATCAATGGTGGCCCAGTCTACATTACTATCCAGTCCATCTTTAATGATCTTTGGCCTGATTCTGGTTGCTGCATTCATTGCAGGGGTACACCATTTTCTTCTGGCCTTCCTCCATGAACGTATTGTGCAAGACCAATTCTGGATGAAGAACACATCTAACACGTTCAGCATACTAGTCCAAACCCTTTCTGCAGCATCTGTTTCAGCATCCCTTATGCAGCTTGTGAGTATTTACATGTTAAACTACAGTAATGCTAATCACTCACTACAGATCTGGTGGTTTCTGCACTGCCGATCCTTTACTATCACACAACTGAATAATTTATTCAGCTTACCCAATTCTTTCCCTACTGTGTGCCTTGCATCATCGAAAATGCTATGGAAGATCTTCCCCATCGTCACCATGGCTGCACTTGTGCAGGCATATACCCTCGTATCCATCCTTGCGCCCAACATGCTCGAAGGGGGCACTGCTTCTCCCAAAATGGATAACATCACAGTACCCACCATCTTTTTTGGCAGAGATCCACAAGAACACGGCTGGGCTTTCCCCGCCCCACCCACATACTGCAATTATCAAATAGCTACTGGCTTTAGTCGGGTTCTGGGAAGCTCATTGCAATCTGATATACTTATTGGATGGAGTGCACCTATGGGATGCGAGAATGGGTGCAATTATACTATTGAATATGGTGCCCCCGCTCTGCTCTGCTCAGACATTAATGCAGCCAGCATTTTCGACTATGCCAATGACACCGGTTCCCCCTTCTCCCCATCTGCAGTGCTGTTGAATAACAGCGATTTCACCACTGTATATAATGGCACCTACGAATTCTATAACGATGGGATAAACGTTATTGTTGCATGGCAAAGATATTACCTCAATGGAGATTCCATTGTTGGTGGCGTATTGTGCTCCCTCTTCAACATCACACAGCGATCTACCGTATCATTTTTCAATAACACGGGAGTCATTGTCCCCCGTATTATATCTTACAACGAACCGTATAAAGCACTGATTCCACAGAATGTATCCTCTGACTGTGGCGGACCACATGTCCCCAAGACATCCTTCACCCAGTCATATTATTTGAGTTATTCTGCATTAATGGAATGGCTCGCACTTCGGCTGCGGGGCACTATTTCTTATCGCAGCGCTCAGCAGTGGGACTTTATGTCATCAGTTATAGACAGTAGTCTCTTTGTTGTCAACGAAACAGCCGTGACATTTTCCCCACGAGGTGCAAGCGTGAAGACAGCACTAGAGCAAGTCCTCGTGAACCTAACTGTTGCGCTGATAGGTGCGGGAAGGGAAATGACGACAGTCAATGCTACGATCATGTTGAACCAGCTGGTATGAGTGTATGATGCACGTAGACTATGGGGAACCTACGCTACTGCGCTTGCACTGGCATTGATATGCGGGGGTGTTGGGCTAGCGTGCATGGCGAATAATCAAGAGATATGGGATCTGGCATTTTGTAACGAGCATGCCGACAGAAACCTGACTTCCACTCAACCCAACAAGCCACAGCCCGGAAACCTACGGATCCCGATTCCCACTTTCTATTTCATACTCTATTTCATATTCCATTTTATATTTCACTTCTCCATATTAATTTATCAATAGCCCAACATCGGTAGCGAACATGTCATCGGACCCCATCGGCTACCGACTGGTAGAATACATCCTCCGACAACCCTAGAATGTAGACCACTCCGAGTAGGAACTAGATCGGACTCCTAACTAGTATATAAGCCTTAGAATTACACTGTAGATACTCACTTCAAATATCAACTTGGTTCAGCCAAATCTCTCTCTCTCTAACTCTAAGTCTAACTCTCGTTCTCCAGTCCACGGAACTCCGATCCGTTAGACTTATCTCTTACCTCGTCCCTGCCACTCCACGGACTTCTGTCCGTATCCATCTTAGGGCTTCGGCTCAGGGGTGACGTTGCTAATAGCTTCGCCTATGCCCGACGCATCCCGCGGCATTCCGCTACGTGCACTTACCGCCGCAATCCTATTGGCACGATCCTAACAGTATATTCGAACTCAAACCCTTGAGTCGAAATTTCTTCCTAACCATGTCTTCTACTTTCACTGTTCCTCCAGAAACCAGCTGCAACTCCACAGTCAACAACCGAACCTACACCATGGACGATATCCCTGCCTCTGCTTCAAAAGAGGGTCCCCTTCTCTTTGGATCGGATTCTGCCCCTCGCCAACAATCCCGTAGGGAAACCTACCTTCACAGTGGCTTCACTGCTCGCCAATCCGATGTTAACTGATCGCCTAACCCCTTCCTAGCCCAGCGATCAGAATCCAATGGCTGGGGTGAGTATTGAAGCAACCCCCCGCGGAACCCAACTACCTCTCTGTTCGATGACATCCCAGGTCGGGATGACGACGACGACCAAGGTTCAGAAGATAGGGAATTCCCCCCTCACATGCCAATGAATGGCCATGGAAACCCATCAGGAAATCCTGGCGGTGGCCCACCCAATCCAGGTGGCCCTGGAGGTCCTGGAGGTCCTGGTGGTCCTGGAGGAGGACCTAACAACAATCCTGGTAACAACCCTAATCCTCCCAATAACGACGCCCATGTTACAGTTTATTCATTTCTTTTCCATTTTCTTACGTATTCACACTTACTTGTACCTGCGGTCCTGATCAGACATTCTCACGGTACTATTTTTAGTTTAGTCAACGTGTATTTAAGTAGAGCCTCAGCTGGCTTAAACCCCAGCTTTGGCTAAGGTTTAATCTACCTAACTTCGAACTCCGTCCTTCGTGACTATCTGTCCCGCTTGCTTTCCTCGCCTTTGACTTGCTAGAGCATCGTCTACCGAAGTGCGAGTAGCGATCCTAGCACGATCTAAGTCGAAAGAGTTAGTGGCTAACATTTAGCTGAAGCTCGTTCTACGTTGCTCAGCATCGCACTGCCCAACCTATACGCTTCCAACATTCAGCCGATACACTTCTTTGTTGCGATAGCCCTTTGGGTAATCCCCTTCGACCTATTGCTCCAAATACTAGTACTCGCCTGGATCATCGAATTTCTCCTTCATGACCCAATCCTTGCAGTCTTAACAACTGTACTCTTCACCCTTGCTCTTATCGGGATCAGGATCTCTGCGGTGTTGCTGGCAGGTCTGCTAGCCGCCCTATACGCATTATATCCCTGCCTCGTTTAGAGGCAAAACGCATCCTTTCACACTCATCCTTCAGCTCGCTTCATTATTAACGGTTCTGTTGATAATAATAACGAGCACCCACGAAGATTGTGAAATCCTGTTGATGAACGGCTCAAACTACGAAGCCGACCTCAGCCTGATTATTGCGATCCTTATCATTCTCACCATACTTGCCGTCTATCAGCTTGCATGGTCAATCGTTGACCTACACCAAGGATAGATCCACTCACGAATGCCCTGGTCCGACGCCATTCCCGCCGTCTTCGCGACTTTTATACTCTTTTTCTTGTCCATTATTTTGTACCATCTACGCCGCTGTCTTCAGCAGCAGAGGCGAGTTCGCGCGCAACTCCCGTTTCATTACGTCCCCAGCACTCCAGCGTATCCTCCGCCCATAATTTACATCCCCCACGGCATCGCAGCAGATGATAAGAGATGTCGAATCCAACGTCTCCGGGAGATCTGGAGAATCCCTCTACACATTGTCGCGACCCAGCTCGCGATCCTCAGGGTCGAGCACCGACTCCTACAGAAGCGCCTCCAGTGAGTCAATCGACATCACCGATACCCGGGGCGTACTCCTCGACAGAGGAGACTCGCCCGTACCAGGCCTCTTCGACCAGTCTCCAGTCAAAGGCGAGTCAAGTCCCGACCGAGGCAGAAGACAAGGCACCAGGCCTCTGGTCAAGGGCGAAGAAAGCCCTGACACCGAGTACGAAGGGGATGAGCTCACCGAGTGGGAAAGAACCCGACTCGACGACCTCTACCCGAATACGGAGGAAGATGCGACCTATACCGGAGACAACTACAGCAGAAGGTCAGGAAATACATGGACAGATGCAGTCTGGAGAAGTGAGAGCAGGAGATACCGGGTCGCCCAGGAGGATGACTACGACAGTGATTCCGGCGAGCTTGGCCTCGGAGCCTCCATGGCTTCCACCAGTTCAACTGAGTCACAGTCTCTTCCAAGGTCCTGGCCGACCGATAGGGGAGAGCCAGTCACCTGGTACCCCAGGACCAGCTGGGTCTACGCAGACCGGGAAGAGACTCCTGTGGCCGGAATCGCGACCAGAAGAGAGCCCGACCCGATCCCTGAAGGGTCCGAGACCCCGGCGGTCTCAACCATCGCTCCCACCGTCTCCTCGCACGAGCCGACGAGTGGGGAGCTTTGGAGCGAGTTCCCAGACTACGACGCTGAGGAACTTGGAACAGTTACCGTTTCCGAGCGACTCGCCGGAGTCTCCAACTGGGAGCCGTCGGTATCGTCAAGAGCATTCGCTGACCCCGTCCCTGAAACCCAGCGTCCTTGGACGCTCCTCTATCACATGCTCATCCAGTCGCTCAAGCTCCCTAGATCTGCCAGGGAGTCCCCAGAAGTCGAGGCCCGAATGGAGCGAGCAAGAGCGGCAGAGTTACGCACTCGACGCGCCAAAATCGCCGCCCTTGTCGGACCTCCCGGCCTCCACGATCTCCCCCTCGACCCAGATGCTACCCGTGCCGAGGTCGAGAACAGGCAGCGCACGGCGGCACTACGATATGCCGGGCTCGTCGAACGAGCCGGAACCGATCTTGAGGCCCGCCGAAGACATTGGCAGAACTACGAGTCGGAGATCAGTGACCCCGACTCCGACATCGGCAGGTGGAGGCGAAACAAGGAAATCGACCGAATCACCCGAGAGAGGAAGGAGGCCCAGGATGCCGAGTCGACCGCCCAACAGCGCCCTCGAGACGGAGGTGATGGCGGCGGTTCGGACCCTCCTGGTTCACCCCCTACACCCCCGGCCGACGATCTTTAATATTTTGCCGTGGCATGGACTATACGAGATCATGATGGAAGACATGGAGAAGGACTCCCAGTGGCTCCTAACGGAGGCGGGAGAAGATTACCGAGACGCAAAGACCATGGGGGATGTATACCTCATGAAGAACATCCTAGAAGTGGAGACGTGGCACCGAGCTGCCTTAGTATGGAACTTGGCGAACCCAGACCAGCCCAAGCAGGAGTGTGCGGCCTATCGACGACCGCAACCGATGCCCAATCCGCTCGAAACCGAGGAGTTTTGGGCCGGTGCGGGGCCCGATGACGACGAAATGGACGACCCAGATGCTGGACCCTCGAACAAGGGAAAGCAGTCCACAGTCCCGCCTCTACCGCCGACTCAGCCTCCGCATCGACCAGTTTACCCCGGTGACTATCCCCCGCCTGGGGATAATTATCGTCTAAGGTCGCTACCACGACCGCCGAATCCTCCGGTGCCACCAAGGGCACCCTCACCTCCGGACCCCATACCGCCATGGACGCTAGCGGCGGGGAAAGACAATAACCCGTGGAACGACGTCAAACCGAAGTTGATCACGCAGCCCGAGTACTTCACAGGGGAGTCCGAGGACATCAATCGATTCCTCCATCACTGTGAAATGTACTTCCAAGTTTTCCCGCTGCACTTCACAATGAACGATCAAGGCCAAAATCCTTACCGCATCACCTTCGCACAGGGGTATCTACGGGAGAAGGCCAAGCAATGGTGGGGTGACCAGTACTATCGCTACCGAGACAACGAAGGGCATTGGAGATTCCCCACTTGGGAGGAGTTCTCCCATGACCTCTCCAAGGAATTCCGAGAAGTAGCGGAGGTCGCAATCTGGAAGGCGGAATGGAAGAAGGTTCGACAATCGGAGTTCAAATCCACAGTCGAATTCTTCGCGAAGTTCGAACGGTTAGCTCACAAGTGCGGGGAGTTCGGAGACGAAAAACAGATGTTCGAAGCGGTAGAAGTGGCGATTAGGCCAACAGTGCGGAAGACGGTTATGCATGGGGACAACGAGCGCCCCACAACCTACGCACAGTGGAAGGCACGAGTCCTAAGGATCGACGCCAATTATCGGTATGACGTGGCTCAAGGCCTCGCCAGTAAGACCTCCCCGAGCCAAGGCGGCTCGGGTTGAGGCAGCCAAAATCAGTCTAAAGGGAGCGGGTCTAGTGGCGATCGGAAGGACACCACAGGGACGACCTATGGCGGTGCCGGGCAGCCGATGGAGATCGACAAGTTATGATCCGACAAGCGGTGCTTCAAGTGTGGGAACACCGGGTGGAGCCCAAAGCACAAATGCCCTGACGACAAGTCCAAGTGGCTTCCCGTCAAACTCCCACCTCGAAAAAAG